GACTAAATTGTTTCCCCAAATATTTATTGAGACTTCTCACCAGACCTAACCTAAAATTATTTAGCCTTACTACATAAAAGTAAAGTTGTCGATACACTTGTTTTGAAAAAGAATCTCCACTTCTAAAACTTTACGTGATACAGATGTAGAGTTTCAAAAATTTGAAGCCTGTTGAAAAATACACCATATAAAATACCATGCACAAGGTTTTCCAAAAAATGTTTTATTTAAAAACTGCTGCACATAACACGAATAATTTTTTGTTATGTCAATGGACCTATAAATATCACGTGTATATATTATAGGTTTATAAATGTAATCTGTGTAGGTATAAGTAGGTGGCGCTGTGCACCGTCCACTGTTAGAGTTGATAAGCCGCGCATATTCTTCGATGCGATCGACCACTTGCGGGAGAGATTCCAGACCACAAAGGTTCCAAATTCGTACACATAAATTGTTGCCCTAGTAGCTATCTATAATTGGTGTGACCTGCAATCTCTACATTTATGGAGCGAGTTCGCTTCCATTTGTGGTTGCTCTGACTGACCAAATTTTTTTCAATTCTGCTAACAACCTTTCCTTAACATCCATGTGGAACAATGTTCGGTTTTCGGACATAGATACTTTTGTTTTTTGAATGTAGTAATCTACGAAAATGATAAGGCAAAACAAAAAAAGACAGAAAGAAAATAAATATACTGTCAGCACAAAGGAAAATTTCTCTAAAATCAACAGATTTTGTTCGCTAAGGCTACGGAGGAATCGATTTCTGACGTTTATCTCATGAAAATGTTGATGTAAGATTTTTAATTTATTTTCACAGTTAACACACACACACGCGCGCGCGCAAACTTATAGATTATATTAAAGCATCAAGAAAGAGTAGCTTCCTGTTAAAATTTCTGAGCCAAAGGGCCTTTGTATTTGAGATTGTTCATTTTCCCTACATTAAACGTTTTTTTTTTTTTATGCTTAAGCGTTCAAATGTTGTAATAATATATAAAATCGATGTAATTTTTTGCGTTTAAAGGGCTGACGTTATTTTCAACCCGATAAAATGTGTGATTCAAAAGCGGTATTTTTTCGTGTCTTTTTTTACGCGAATCAATTTTTTTTACGATAAAAATAAATTGAAAAAATTGTACAATATTTCATGTTTAAAAGTGTGTGTAAAAACAAAAATTTTTTACCTATGACAAAACTTATTTTTTATTATTTAAAGTAAAAATTGAATTCAAATGATAAATATTTGAAGGAGTAGCGCATTTAAAAATGTTTAAGTAATTAAGTAAGTAACTTACGTATAAGCTTTAGGGTTTTCGTATTTTATAGATAAAAACTGACATTTGAAATATTCGTATTTGATGTTGGATCAACATTTCGTGTCAGTCCAAAGTGACTATTACTATTTACATTTACAATTTAAATTTGAAAATGTACGAGTATCAGGCAGAATAATAGCACGCGTGTCGTACAAAAGTAAGCTGCACCAAAAAACGAAAGACAACTTAAACGTTTTCAGGTTTTGTTTTCAGAACAATTATTTTAGAAGCAAAACTAGCAATTCATTTAAGAACAAAAAAAAATACTATACATTGCCACTGTTTATAGATTTCCAAAATTTCTGAAGAAATATTAACCTTATTTTTATGTTTCAAGATAAATGTACGGAGTTGATATTAACAATCTATTTATAGGACGTTTTAACAGGAATAAGGATTCTAGAATCTGTTAAGTTGCGTGCAAATGGTGATAAAGATAGCCGATAATTGATTGAAATTAGACAAATGACACTTACAGAAATATTTCATTTATCTATTTTTTGCACAGCAAAGATTAGTGAATAAAAGCTCTTAATATAATTACAGGCTTACTGTAAAATTAATCGTACAAAGTGGGGAGAGGGACTCGCAATATAGTAGGGACAGTAAGACGGCCACAAAGGTAGAGGGGGAGATTTTAGATATATTTTGGATGCTTTAAATAACAGACAAGAAAAGCGATTTTCTCCGTATGTGGTGCAAGGGGCTACCAAGATATTATTCGAAGTGATGCACAGGGACAAAATGTCTTTTTTTGACGGAAGTCTTGCACCCGTAACATCGGTGTATCCACATTAATTTTTTTTCCTTGCTTCAAAACTTTCCATGCCGATCTTATAACACTAAACGCAGGGGCCAATGTGCATCTGCAAAGAGGTGAATCACCTGCAAGAATGCTCGTAGCTAAGGTACGACGACCATGCATGACTCACATACATGCACGCTGGACTGTGCTGACCGGAAACAACGAGCAAAGTAAAAACGAAATAATTATGAAAATCAATTGATGCAATAGTTCAACTGGGAACAGCTGCGCTAAAGTTTAATATTAGATATTAGTACAATGTTAAAAACTAGAATAACTTAGAGTTAAAACCCATAGGCTAAACGAAGATAGTAGCAAATGGTAAAATTATTACATATTGCTAATACAACTTGTACACGCTGCACCATTAAACCTGCACACCATTAGCCAGCAACAATATTACATAAACCTACGAAAGCAATCTTATTGACTTTCAAAGAATTATCCGATTTTTACCATTCATGTTCGCAGGCTCATGGTTTACTGTACAACCCTTTTGTATCACGTTAACAATTTCATAAATATACTGCAATAGCCCAAATTGTAATCTTGATAAAAACTGTCACTGTTTCAAATGTAAAGGACAACGGGAAAGTCATGGCACTTCCCCCTTTTCCTGACGCAGAGATGTCGAGAAAGAGTCCGCACTCTTGCCCCCAACACGGGTCACAGAATTCTCGATTCCCCAGGGCACCCTGAGCCGACTTCCTCTCCTACGACAAGCAGAAAAACCCATAGTTGACCAAATGTTACTAACATTTTGAAATACATTTTCAACTAACAATGAATGGAAACTATCGGTAAATTTAAGTAAGTTAACAATATAATAGTTCGCGAAGAGCCCCCACTACTGTTTCTATAGATGTACGTGTTTTAACCAAAGAAACCGCTGCTGTTAAATAATCATTCATGATAATTTATCAGTCCGATCAATGCTCACGTGTACAGCGGAAAAGCTAGCAATTATTAAAATTATTAACTACTACTAAGACTATTATTAATATCATAAAGTACCGAACACTTATTCAATCAAACCTGAATATTAAGCGATTTTCACCGCTCCTTTTGCATTGGGTTCGATTGAATGGGTGAACAACGGATACTATTAGTTAATACTTATTAATACTACATCTTAACATTAATATTAAGTTATGATAAAATCTTGTAACTTTTGATGTAAAAGAGAAAGGAAGGGCATGAGTAAGTGAATCACCTTCCNTTTTTCAAGTTATCAAACTCAATAATTGTTGGGTTGCTAATCACCGATGCTTGCTTTCCTGAGGGTACATTTTATAAATAAATAATACTAAAAAAATCCCATAGGTTGCTAATCACCGTTGCTGGCTTGTCCAAGAATACATTTATAAATTTAAGATACTAAAAAACAGCTGGGGTGCTAATCGCTGATGCTTGCCGACCACAGAAACTCTTAAAACCTCCATAAATTTAAATTAATGTAACAAATAAACATTATGTATTTGAGTGCAGGTCCTTTTTAATCAGTCATTTTGAATTTTTGTATTAAATACCATATTCGCAATCAGCAGACTAATAACTCTTATGTGTATTTTTTCTAGTAATGGATGTAAATTTTTCATTTCAACTTGCACTATTTTTAATCCACTATTTTTTTTTTCCTTTTTTGATATTAGATTCGTACTCATCGACCCTCAAAATTTTTATACGAATTTTGTAATGTAACAAGTAGAAGTTCTTTATTTTCATGTGAACTATGTTGATACCACTATTTTAAATTCTATAATTCTGACACTAGATTCATGATGAACGACAGTAAAATAAATGGTGTACTGGTTTTAAGAAAAAAAAAAAAAAAAAAAAAAAATTATTTTAATATTTTATTCAACATTTTTGTGTAAGTAATTGGGAAGTGTGTAAACAGCCTCTTTCTTTCGTAACTATAGAACATAAGAAGATTTATGTTACAATTTACGTTTAGTTTATGTTTCAGATACTATGTAAATAAGTCACTTTATTCGAAAAAAGAAGATCTTGTTTCATATAAATTCCGAACGACAGGATCACAGTCAAAATATAGACATTCGTTTTACAGAGCCAGACTTTTTCCAATGTTGTCGTCACCCAGTAAAAGCGTTAAACAATCTCTACTTAAAACAAATGCCTTAAATGCAAGAGCACCATCAGAAATTTCATTTCAAAAATAAAAGGCAATAAGTTTATTTTAGATATATTTTTTTGTTGATGCCTTTAATAAACTAATATAATAAATTAATTAAATATTATAAAATTACATTTATTTTACTGCAATTATTTGTAAAAATGACAAAATACTGTTTAAGATACGTAAATAATCATTTAGCTTATTATGAACGTTATGAGAAAACAATTTTTACAGAATCTAGCAATGGTTATGAAGTTTTAACAAACTTTAATACAAAATACAAAACTGCAACTTTTTTGAAGTCAGTCTTTAATGCTGAAATTTCCGTATGCACTAAAAAAACTTTATTTTATGCCGTGTTTTTCACGTTTTGGCGCCTTATCATAATCAATGTCAGGCTCAAGAAACTTAAAAATCTGCTTAATTTAAATGAAAAAATGGTAGTGCCGTAACTTTTTAAAGTTCACTCTTTGTAAATTGTGAGAATTATACATCAACCTTGACATGTACTCGTCAAACACCGAGCATAAAGAAATATACGTTTGATGTAACACTCTTTAACTATGGATGGAAATGTAACTATGGATTCTATAACTAAATTTGAAAAGCAAGAACTCAATTTTTATCAAAGTCTCAAGTTTTTAATGTAAAATGTTATGAAATGTTTGTTTACAACTTAAAAGTGTACAAAAAAGTTTCGGTGTTTTTTTTTTAATTCTTCCAAAAAACTTACCTCAATTTCAAAATTGCCTTTTGTAAACTCGAGAGAGTTCAGAAGGGCCTTTGTTGCTGCCAATCTCACATTGATCGAAGTATTGGATCCTTTCATTCCATGAATGATAGCAGTAAGAATTTGATTTGACTGCGAAACCAGAACTTCACTGTCGATTTCTTGGCAAATGTATCCAATGGCTTCTAGAGTTGCTTCTTTCATCATTTCAGTGCTATTCGGATTAGCAACATTATTTACCAAAAGAGGAATAAGTTCTCGCCATTGTTCTACTGGCAGTTCAGCAACAGCTACGTATGCAACACATTGTGCAGCTGAACTTGGACGATTATTTTCTATTCCTAAAGCACCTAATATCTGTAAATAAATATTCGATGTATTGAAGTATGTCTTTAATTATAAGCTTTTAGTTATAGCAAATAAAATTAAAGGCAAATTTTGAGTTTACACTGTAAAGAGGTATTTTTTGTCATTTTAGGAATTAGAAATTACGTTTTTTATTACATTTTTGAAATTTTTATACTTGCTTTTTCTAAAATTATCAATAAAAATCATTTGAAGTTCGCGAAAATCTAATAATCAGCGCTATTCATCACGCGCAGGAAGCAAGATAATTTATATGCAAGGATTATCGGCAAATATGTATAATCGATAGTGCGCACAAAGATAGCGTAGATTATGGAGGCGAATTATATGCGAAACGGCTATAAAAGGCGCTGATGCGCAAGAAAACATATCCTTGTCCAGCGAGCCTGGAACGCAGAAATCCGCTGCCTACCAAGACCTAGAACTCTCCCGTGCACCGGTGCTAACCGCGAAGCGCACGAGCTAAGAGAAAGAGGATAGACAGGATGTTAAATAAATATGCTATAAGGTAGTAGATCTATAATATAACACTCGTGAACACTTAAGGTAGTTGACAAGGAAATCGATTTTCTATAGATTTTCTCGAAACTTAGCAAATAAGTACATTTTAGTGTCCTTCACACATCAGTAAAATTTCAACATAGGTACCGCAGCTAAAAACTAAGATATTATTATATAAATTTATGGCTTTTATCATGGGATGCCTCTGTTACGNAAATGGGGCCAAGCTGTGCGGGCAGAGGGGACTCCCCCTTCCTCGTCCCTTTGAATGATACTCCCGAACATCCTTAACACTGGGCAACGAAGACGTTCTCTAACATATAGCCCCATACACTGACTATATATGAATTTCTGATCTCAGAGTTTCCTTGGTACAGATAAAATTCTTACCCATTTTTGACTATCACTAACTCGCCAGGGTTATACTTAAAGGAAGGAAAGTCGTTACACTAAGTGCTAATATACAATATTAGAATAGTCTCTAAAACCACAGAAGGCAGCAATAGAAATCAAAATAAAAAATAAAAAGTTTAAATATTTAACATTTTTTTAAACTATTTATTTAAAGTTTTTTCATTTACTTTGACATTAAAACAATACAATAGTATAGCGTGATACTCAAGAAAAATGTGCAATAAAATTATCAAATGAATAATCTAGTACATGATTACAGAAATTAACCAAAATATATTTGTATTACAACAATCTGTCAAATTAATTCTTGAACGATGATTTTTTATTATCAAATATTGTAACAAGTAAAACATCTATTTCACTAATAAATTTCGTAGAAATAACCAGTACAGATGGTATTAGTTTTTATGGTATTACTATTATTTTCCATATTTACATTTTTTTTTCAAAAGTCAGTAACTGAAGTAATACGATAACCTAATTCTCAAAAAAAAGGTAAACAAAAATAATATACATGTATGTATACATATACATATATTTGAAAATACAACGTTGCCCGATTTCGTCAAGCAGCGCAGACAGCCAATTTTTGACGTGCCGTCATCTTGTCGGACGTTGATCACGGGAAACGAGCCGAACAATCCGCCCGCATCGCTCCTGGAGGCACGACCTCGTCGTGGCCATGATCAGGCAACGTAAGCCGGACCGCGGGCATGATGGCGGCCGCGATGGCTTAATACAACCAACACTTTGACATCAGTAATAGTATACTCACATTATGTTGTGTGTTGAATGCTCTCCTTGGTTTACACCTGCTCTGCAGTGGTTGCTGTTTGTTTCTTACTCGCTCGGAATCCGGCTCGAAGGACCAATGTTCAGTTTTGAAAATCTTTATTGAATATTGATCTAGTGCCTAGTACAGAGTTGCAGACAATTACATCACTTCTGTAGATGTGATCTCTCTCAGCTCTTTTTTCCTTGGGTCCTCGATCGTCAGTCAGTCAGCCCGCGCACGGCTCGGCAGCTCGGCAGGAGCAGTACGTGCGCAGAACGAAGGAGGGCGCGCGTGCCGTCATCTTGTCGGACGTTGATCGCGGGAAACGAGCCGAACAAGATCGTGCGTGCGCGGCAACGGCCATGTTCTTTCTATCTCATCTGCATTACTGTACAAACTACAAAGCACACACACACCATCCTGCACTCGCAGTGCTTAGGCCGCATAACAGATGTCACAACTTACACATCTAATATAAATTTACTTAGATTCCATCTAGCACGAAGGCCAACACTGTGAGCATCAGTGTAAGTATACCAGTAGCGGATTACCACCACTAACTGGTATCTACTTGAGGTATAGCGTAAGCATTCATTGAACGAAGTACCTGGGTTGATTCCGCGAACAGTGTTTAAGAAACCCAAAGAGCACGAGAACGATCTAAGCCTATGTGACTACCTTCGTTATAGGAATAGCATCCATGACTCACTTTGTAGCTGTACTAATACATTGCCCTAGCTTAACCACGCATCAGTTAAAGAAAACTCATCAGCGGAAAAATTAAAAATTTCCTTTTATTCATAGTTGCAAATAAAATTTTATTTTTGTATCCCAGCGCGAAATTTCAATTGCTTCGGAGAATTTAAAATCCTTTGAAATGAGATTTTAAAAAATCATTCACTAATTTGGAATAGCGCTAATTATCTGAATCAATATAAGCGACCGATATAGTAATTTAAAACACAATTTCCTCATTAAAATAATACTGAGAAAATGTAAGAGATAGAAAAAACAAGTGTACTTATTGATTTAAACCTACTCCTTCATAGGTAATTGCCCGTCCTAATATTATTTGAAGTTTATTCAAGAATNCTCAAAGTTTGCTAGTTTAAGGCCGAAATATTGTGTTTTGACAAGTGCTTCTGGTACTCACTTTATATGTGTACGTCCTATACACGAAAATGTTAGTTAATTAGTAAGTGATTCCAATTTTAGATCACTTACTTCTAGTTCTGGGCTGCCTTCGATTAATTATAAGGATTATTTGGATCGTATGGTATGCAAAAACCAAACAACTGATTGTTATTTAAATTCTTGTAAGAAGTGTCCAGGCATGACAAATGTTATTGAGCAACCGGAGAAAATTTTTGAAGAAAAATGTATTGAAATTGTTACCTACAAACAATGGGTTACGGTTGAATAAACCTCATTGCAGCCCCTTATATCTCCAGTTAATGAATTTTTTACAGAAGTTAATGAAAGTTTACAAGAACTGTTGATTCTTTCATTTTCGGTTAACAAACAAAGGGGTTTTTTTAATGAGATAAAAAATAAACTGACAGAAACCGAGTGTATCGTAATTTGCGACTTCTCAGAAATCTTGTGGAAAGTAACCTCTTTGTCTCGCTTAACTGGACAAAACTTTGTATTGAAAAAATCTACCTACGACTTAATTATTGTTTAATTATTCGATGAAAAAAATTTAGAGGCATGTTGTAGTGCATTTTAAACAATGCAAACGTTAAACGTAAGGAAAATATTGAGTTTGTGGGGTGCAAGAGGGGGTGCGCAGTAAAAGGGGCCAAGCTGTGCGGGCAGAGGGGACTCCCCCTTCCTCGTCCCTTTGAATGATACTCCCGAACATCCTTAACACTGGGCAACGAAGACGTTCTCTAACATATAGCCCCATACACTGACTATATATGAATTTCTGATCTCAGAGTTTCCTTGGTACAGATAAAATTCTTACCCATTTTTGACTATCACTAACTCGCCAGGGTTATACTTAAAGGAAGGAAAGTCGTTACACTAAGTGCTAATATACAATATTAGAATAGTCTCTAAAACCACAGAAGGCAGCAATAGAAATCAAAATAAAAAATAAAAAGTTTAAATATTTAACATTTTTTTAAACTATTTATTTAAAGTTTTTTCATTTACTTTGACATTAAAACAATACAATAGTATAGCGTTGTATTCACATATACCCATTTTTTACGTAACCTAAATCCCTCATCTTTATTACCCTTATTCCTTTTTCCTCCTAATAATCCGACTTCGTACCCAAGATATGCGAGCATTTCGTACAGGGCTACTGCAAAGATTCTTCAGATAATTTGGTTATTCATCCACATTGGTACTATTAACAAGACGCAGCAAACGTCTTTAAATAAAACCCTCTACCCTACCTCTTATCAACAATAATTGATAGAACTCTTCTACAAATCTATCTAAACGCGCTAAACAAACTTTTTCTAAGCCGATAGCGACTTAACTCATAAAATAACCAAGTGTTGGTTCCTCCTAGAAAGAAAGCCTTTAAGAAACTAAACATCACCATAAAAATCCACTGTTCGATCTATAAAATCACATTAGTGGGTTTTTAGCACTCGAGGTACTTATCTCATCGAAAAAGCATGATAAAAAAACCAAAGCAACTAAGCCACTAAAGCTACTCTATAATAACGTAAAAACGTACATAATAAATTTTTAAAAAATCAAAGAAAAATTTTAAAAAACTTTTTGCTCCATTTAAGTTAATTATTATAACTTCTTGAAGTCATAGTGCTAAGAAGAGCTGCTTTGTTTTCAATGCTGAAGGCTGTTCGATAATTGAAATTAAACATATTAAAATTGACTTTCTTAACAATCATTAGTGATAACTAAGAGATATCCCATACCAATCCTCATACATCTCCCTATGCTGTATATTTCTTTTAATGAATCAGGTGATAACGCTTCTCTACACGATATGATCCCCATCCCTTACAAATAACCACCCAACAAAGTTACAAGAAATTTACTTTATTTTACCTACATTAGACCAAACACTTTTTCAGAGTAGTCTACACTGACCCTAGGTGCAATTTTTACAGGCATCTAAGTAGCCATTCTTTCCCACACACACAAAGCCTTACCCCACATTTGCTTAGCGAAGCGTAGACATTAAAACCTGAATCAAAAAACTTACTCCTTACATTATATATCTCTTTATGTTTTTCTTAAATACTGTAACCTAGGGTCACCATATGCAAAATCAATCAAGAAGGATATCAAATTTTAAAGAAAACGGACATTTTCG